TATATATATATATATATATATATATATTGTTCTGTTTTCACAATTGAATATCGTCCTGGGTATGACGATAAACTACATCCTGAAACAAGGTGTCTGATCACGATGTTGTAGGTTTGAGAAGCGTGGAGCCGCCTCTTAATTGCTGTTTTTTCCTGATCGACCCTCATTCGGGGTAGTACCACCTGTTAGGGTCCCAGCTATGGGAAAAATAAGGCACCCAAAAACAAAAACCGATGAAAGTATGGTAAAAAAAAAGGTTTATGGTAAAAATACGAGCAATATATTTTTATATAAAAAATATTACCAACAATACTTATTTATGATAAAATTACCAACAATAAATTTTTATAGTAAAATTGCTGAGTCGGGATCTGTCAGAAGAGAGGGAACTTGACAATCGCAAGCCAGACAGCGGACTACCTAACTAACTGGGATTTAGCGATCGAACTGGTATTTACCGGTCGCAACACTGCGACAGAAGGTCAAGTTTTATGTGGGGAGCTCGACCGTTTCCACCCGGGTCACTGTCCAAAATATACCCAGGACCCGCAAAAGTGGAATTTTGCCTCGCTTCGTCCATGGAAAATTCCATGAACGAAGCGAGTAAGCAACGAGGAAGTCTTAAAGAAAATGGTAACAGAATGGAAAAGACAGTTGAAATTCCTTGGATATATAATGAGTTATGATGGCTTGGAAACCTGAATCCTCTAGGGTTAAATTGAGGGCAAGAGAGTTAGGGAAAGACAGCGAGTTACTAACCTGACGAGCTTGTGTGAATGGAGGTCGAAACTTGGGCGGGGGGCACTAACCTTAGGAAAGGGAAAATTCGATAATAGTTGTGGGAGAATTGGAAGGAAGCACGCACAGAATAATAAAAAAAAAACAATGTATACAAGTCCAATAGGCAAATCAATTCCACAATTATTTTCGTTTCTCAGAACGCAACCTCTCCCCAGAAATGATCCCCGCCTTGAATGAGCGTACCGTACTTTTATGCATCTGGGGGAGGTATCGCTCAGCCAATGAACACCGAGAACCAGCCAATAAAAAATGGCTACAAGCGAAACCACCACAAAGTGCCGCCCGATTCACCTTCAGTCCGAAACTCGCCAATTCACCCTCTCCACACGCCATTGCAAAACATACACGTGACTCTGGCACTTTTCGGTCGCCGAGATATGTCTCTGCTACAAGAGTCACAATGGATAGAAAGTTGTGGAGAGCCATGATCGCCTATGCCCTGAAGAGACGCCATATAAAGAAAAGTAGAAAAACGATGGGTCATTTTTTTAGACCGTTTTTTAAAACATTCACGTATAGAAGATTTTTTGTTTTTTTTAACAGTAAGAGTCACTCTGTACAAGACCCGGGAGCTACTCGAGCTAGACGGTTACGCTAAGGCGTAGTTTCTAGGGATGGGAGGAGAAGATAACGGTTAACTTAGACTTGAACAGGTTCAGATTGTAGTAATCGGGCAAATATCCTGGAATTTGTCACATAAGGAGCTGGTTTACGGGAAGAATCTATTTGAGTGGAATTTACTTCTCTCTGAGGGGGATGCTGAAGGAATATGCGTAGTTTGGTATGATGTAAGTGGCATAGCGGGTCCTAGATGTGAATGCCTCCAAATACTTATATGAGATTTGTGGAGTATCTTTGCAACGTCCCCAGATGTGATATTCGGATCAGTTTAATCAGCATTTCGATTTGGTCATCATAAAATCTGCAGGGAACTTCTAAAATTTCAAAATTTCCATTTCTGATGCACGCGAACTTAACATGACAGAATATGGCTGTAAGATATCTCAAAAGAAAATAAGCCATCTATTTTACATGAATGACTTAAAGTTGCATGATTGTATTGACGCTCAGCTGGAAGGTCTCCTGAAAACAGTCAAATGTTTTAGAGATGACATTAGAATGGAATTTGGTTTGGATAAATGTGCTGAAGCCAAAATTTTACGATGATCACTATAGCAAAACCTTCTCTATTAACTTAGACCTATTAGCCATAAAAACACAACTCTACCTACCCTAGGTCTTCCCGCGGACTTGATAGCTTAAACTCTGGACTAACAATCAAAGATTTGGCACAAGAAGAAGCTTCTGAGTATATATTTATACTTCAAAAATCTTTTTAAATATAACCTGAAGAAGACAGAGATATGGTCGAAATAATGTCGAACATTGATAAACACTAATCGCTCTCTTCTCTTAAGTGTCTAATTGTAATAATAGTAAAATAATAACAGCAATAATAATAACAACAAAAATAACAACAGCAACTATAATAATAATAATAATAATCTTTGTCTATGAAATTTTATTTTCTAGTGGAAAATATCATGATGCCATTTCTAACCTTAGGTCGCTGGGCGGGACCCGGAAAGAGTACACATATAAAAAGAAATAAAATAATAATAATAATAATAATAATAATAATAATAATAATAATAATAATAATAATAATGGGACTTTTCGATACACACAGAGAGAACAATCAAAGCTAATCGCCCAGATATTGTGATTAGACACAAGAAAAACAAAATGTGCCTCTTTATTGGCACGGTAGTCCTCGCAGACTGCTTTGAATATTTGGCGGTGTTTCATTCGTTTTGACGCATTCATTATCAGTACAGAAGTTTTGTTTTGTTTTCTATTACAAGACAAGCAAAATTCTTCAACAGAGGAATATTTCAAGGTGATTCTTTATCTCTTTTACTATTTCCAATATACCTTTTTTCAGTATCCCTAATATAGCCTTTATCAGAGAACTTAACAGGACGGACTATGGCTGGAAGATATTTCAAAAGAAATATTACATCAATGACTTTAATTTGCATGCTAGGAATCACGGTGAGATGAAAGGTCTCCTGAAAACAGTAAAATGTTTTAGAGATGACATTGGAATGGAATTCGGTTTGGGTAAATGTGCTGAAGACAAAATTTTACGAAGATCATTACAACAAATCTTCTCTATTAGCTTAAACTTATTAGCCATAAAAACACAGCTCTACCTACCCTAGGTCTTCCTGCGGACTTGGTAGGTAGTGTGACCATGATAGAAATCGAAATATAATAATAATAATAATAATAAAGGCCAAGTACCAGATGCAGAAACGATGGCATGATAAACATCTTCATAGTCAATACTTCTGCCCGTGCCAAACAAGCTGACGTAAACAAACCCCGTACTTATCAGTAGATACGTAGTGGAGGGTTAAAAGCTGAAATCGCTTTTATTCTTGCTGCACAGGACCAATTCTTACTAACTAAAAATTACTAGCATACATACTGAAAAAATATGTTAACCGGAAATGCAGATTCTATGATGAATATCCAGAAAAAGATGACAATCTTGTATCAGGCTACACGGTATTAGCTCCCACCGAATATAAAACATGATATGAAAGGTTAGGTCAATATCTGCTTGGAATAATCTGCAACTTTTACAGGAAGGAAACTGCAAGAAATTGGTATAAATACCTCCCAAACAAGTTTACAGATATAGGACCAGTAACAATTTTATTGCGCTTTATAGTACACACATACAGAACTGTTGTGGTGTCCTCCCTCTAAGAGTCTATGTTAGACTCTTTCGCCTACTATAAGTTTAGTAGGAGAGAAGGTTCGGGCAACAGTGAACTTTGAATAGATCGAGTGCTAGTTCATTCGATAGACTTAACTATTTACTTGGTCACAACATCTTGGCATTCATGCGGGGAGACCCCAATGGATTATCCATCCATTAGGGTCTCTACGAGTGAGTTCGAACCTCATCCTCGTTGCCAAGATGTTGTGGATAAGTAAATGGATAAGTACACCAGAAGAGTATTACACGACTAGAAAGAGTATATCGAATGAACTAGCACTCGGTATGTCCCAGACCTCATAAATACTTTGGACACTATTGTAAGTGGGGGTAATATGCTGTATAAGTAGTCCACCAAGAAGTAGTTTTTTTAAAAAAATCACAGCATAAAGAATATTTTGATATTTTTGTTTATGTTATAAAGATTTTATTTAAAAATGAAATGGTAATTTTTATAACATCAAACAAATTACAATACTCGCCAGCGGCGTGAAATAGGTAAACCACTGCTTTATTTATAAATATTTTCATGGAAATTGTTCCGATGAAATTTCCTCTATGTTACCCAGACTTTATGAATTTAAACACAGTTCTAAATTGTGAAAGAAGAAAAATTTTTTTAAAAACGCCATTCAAAAAAAAACAAGATACATTAATTGGCATTAATGCTCAAAAAATAAATTGTTGGATGAAAGAGGAGGCATTCCCTTTAAAAGGGAATCAATACAAAATGAGTGAATCACACTGAACTATGTTAATCCGGGCCAAAAAACATACCTTCATGGAAACAACATTGAATAGTTGTAGTCCAGAAAGTGAAACCCAATTTCCTTCTAAGGTTATGAGCATTTCACCCACCACTCGACCAACTCTAGGTAGGTCTTACGACCTGTCAGCTGAGAAACTGCTCTTCATAAAGATTGAACGGTTGTTTCCTTTAAAAGGATACGGCTTACCAAAATTTTCAAAGTTATTTAAAGATTAACAATATATTTTATTTCTTGTAAAATGTTATACAAGTCTAACTAATTAACCCATAGCTAGAGAAATAGATGCGAATTCATACGTTTCCCAAGGGTAAGCCAATATAACGAAACCAAAGGGGATTGGAGCTCGGCTTTCTTATTAACAATTCCAAACCGTTATCTGTTACACCAATGAAATCGGCTAGGCTACACGTCCAGACACGTCTGAAAAAATAATTAAATTAGTTAAAACATAAACAATTAAAATGTTGGTGTTCCAACATCTTCGGCATTTTCTATCAGCGCATAATTACAACTGATGTGTACTTCATTATACAGGGCGTCCCTAAAGTCTGGACACCCTAGGCAAAATGCATATTTTCAAGAAAAATATTTTCATAAACGCTTTAGCATTTTATTGAATTGAAATATAAAAAAAATCTTCAGAGAGAGAGAGAGAGAAAGAGAGAGAGAGAGAGAGAGAGGGGGAGGCATAGACACATAGATAATGGACATATTGTGATAGATAGACAGACACATAGACTGTCAGGCTGATAGATAGATAGATAGATAGATAGATAGATAGATAGATAGATAGAAACATACTGAGATATATATACTGTAACAAACTGAGACAGACAGACAGACAGATAGATAGATAGATAGATAGATAGATAGATAGATACATAGATAGATAGATAGATAGATAAACACACAGACAAATACAAAGATAGATACATAGATAGATAATAAATAGCCTAAGTTAGATAGGTAGATAATGAATAGCCTAAGATAGATAGATAGATAGATTCGAGCAAACGGTGATAGATAGATAGATGGATAGATAGATAGATAGATAGATAGATAGATAGATAAGTTGAATCTAGGCTGTTTTTTATTATTATTATTTTGTTTTACGGTATATCAACATCAATGGGTTATTTAATGCCGACAAGATTTTTACGATAGGTTCGTATGAATAGAATATGTATTCTTTGTAAGACGTCAGTTTGTAGATCGAATATCATTGAAGTATTTTTAAAGCGTCAAATGTATTCCTCGTAATATTTTTTTAACTGTATTGCTGGTAATATATTTCTTAAATGTTTTGCTGGTATTTTTACTATAAAAATCTATTTTTATACTTTCAAAAATTCTTTGCCCTAAAAACTATTTTTTGAGGGTCAGGGTGGAAACTGAAACAACAGAATTTAAGAAAGTGGTTGCACGCCTCAAAACCTCCCTAACAGAGACCTTCTAACTTGATGCAGTTTTATCGTCATAAATTGGAACGAATTATCAATGAATAAACCTTCACCATAAATTCAGAAAAATTAATCAGTCTATTTTTTTTCGATAAAACTATTTTTTAATATATATAGTGCTGTTCGATAAAAGTGACTCACCTGATTTTTTTTACTTAAAATTTTTTCGCCTATTGTTTTTGGGGTCAAACTAATTTTTAATCTTACTAATATAAAGACCCCTTCCCGACCACCTAGTAAAAAAAGTTTACTCACCCTAAGGTATTCTATTGATAATTATAATTTTGGATATAAATGAGATTTAGGGAAAAACTCTGTGCAAAAAAAGTGACTCACTTATTTCCTGCAACTAGTAATCAATAGAAACATAACCAAACAGCTTTAAATAAAGAATAATAGAGGTATAATTTATTTATAATAGGTAATATAGTTCGAAATATTTAATAATCTATGGGTCCTCCTTTATTTTGAATAACCTTTTCAACCCTTTTTGGCATTGACTTGATTAGGTTCTGGCAAATCTCATCTCCAAGCATTGAATTCCATTCGGATATGAAATTCACAATCAAATCCTCTTTTGTTGCTCAACTGCTTTCTCGAGAGCCTGTACTTTATAATGCTCCATAAGTTTCCTATGGGGTTGAGGTCAGGAGATTTGGGGCGCCCATGTCATAATTCTCACCTGCTTCTCATCAAAGTATTCCTTCATCAATTTTGATTTGTGACAGGGAGCATTATCCTGAGCCTGGTGAGGTCGATTTGCACCCTTTCAGCAGAAGGGAGCAGACAAGACTCTAAAATTCTCTTGTACTGCTCGCTACCAAGGGTCTTTTCAATAGGTTTTAAGAAACCAGTTCCATGAAAAGAAAAAAGCATCCCCAGAACATTATACTGAACGGATGCTTGACAGTACTTACTGCTAAATTCAAAGAGCTTTCAAAGCTTCTTCTTCGGATTTTAGATCGCTTATCCTTTGAATTTAGCTCAACTTTCGTTTCATCGGAGAAGAGAACATTTAAAAAAAAAAAAATCAGGTGAGTCACTTTTATCGAACAGCACTGTAATATATATATATATATATATATAATATATAATTGAAAAATCTTAATAAATGAATTAAAACTTTTCAATATCAAGTAATTTCTTTAAAAGGTCCAAATAGATTTTCAACCATTAATCAGATTAAAGTAGTTTGTTTAAATCAAAAGGTTTCAAAAGTAACATTTCCTTGACTAAACCATAAATATACCTTTTTTTTAATTTATTCTCGAAGAATTTGATTGCTTAACATAAAATTTCTAAATTTCTTTTTTGTATGTCAAATATACAATAAAATTTTGCTCAAAACATTTTTTATTTTTCAATTTCATTGTTTTACGTGTAGAGTTCTTTGTGGAATTTCAAACAATCGTTGAATTTAAAGAAGTTATTTTTTTTGAATAAAATCATTTATTGTGCCATTTTTTTAGCTTTTGGAAATTTTAAATTTAGAAATCATGGGTTTAATCATTTATATGAAAGTCTGACTTGTACTGATTTAAATAAAAAATTTTATATAGTAACATTTTTCGATTGATGACACAGATTCTTTTTATGAATGCTAATTTATTATAAATAAGTTTATATTTATATCAACCGGCTTTGAAAATAAACATTTTTTTTAATTTAGATCCAAAATAAAATACGATATCAAGCAATATACATATTTTTTCCCTATATAATCAAAATATATAATGATATTTTTTTAAGTTCAAATATTCTTATTTTAAATCGATAGGCATAAATATTGTATATCAATATTTCAAAAGTTTTCTTTTTTGTTTAATATCATTGTAAACTGGTATCAAATCCCGTATGAATAAAAAATAATTAAAATAGAAAAAAGTTTCGTTTTTATCCTCAAAAATCTTTGAACGAATACGCCTCAGAGATGGAATTCGTAACGTTTCATCCATGTTTTCCTCAAATGTAAACATTTTTTTTGTTTAAATATGAACGAATTTTCTACAAATTCTTTATAAAAAAGTTTTTTTATATTTAAATCTACTGGTTGATTCTTTTTTTTTTTTAAAATGAATTATGAAAAATGTTATTCTTTCTGTTCCCAATATATTTACATCTAAATAGGTTTTTTGATAAATTGATAATTTGAAAAATTGATTCATTATTTCAGATAAATCTTTTAAATTATCAATCTTTCTTTTCTACATTGTATTTTGTTAATGATTTTTCTTTTATAAAAAAGCATTAACTACCTCTTTGCCAAAATTCAAAAACATCTATCTATGAACCACTCCTCTATATTTATATATTTTGTAATCTTTCCTTTTAGATAAAAATTACAATCAGGCCCTTTGTGATCCATATTTCATTGCAATATTTTGGAGTAAAGAATGAAAATCTTCTTTTTTTTAGATTCGACACAAGATTGGATATTCATTATATATATGTTGAAAAATATATTTCGAGAATCAATTTGTTTTTTAGAAAAATATTAAACAATTCGATGAACAAAACATATTTTTCTATATTCTGATTTTTCTTTATATAAAATATATAAGTAACATTTTAAATTAGTTTATATATATTTCATCTTTACGGAATGGTTATTGTTATATATGGCACATTTACAGAAAATATCTGTTTCTTATCATGAAAAAATTGTTATAAACACTTTTTTAAATAGAGGATTAATAACGTTTTTCTATTTTCTTCATAATTTTTCAAATTTTATTTTCCTCTAAGAAAACTCGTCATTTAAATAAATTCTCTGACAAGTCATACTATTTCATCAGTTCCTTTGGTAATTTTTTTTTCTTTCCAGATTTTTTATCTTATTTAATTGGATATTCAAATATTATCGTCTTCTAATTTTACAAAAACTTAACAATGTTTCTTCATGTTTTGCTTTTTTTGGTCCAAACCTGTTGCTCTATGTCAGGAAATTAAAAATAATAAAAGTTTTCTTTTATCATGTCTTACAAAAGGAAAAACAGCTTTAATATTGACATCTCATGTTGATTCATTTTGATTTAAATGTTCTGGAATCCTAAAAAAAAAGAACATCATTACTTCTTGTTACTGCCCACAACATTTTTGTCAAACGTATAAATTCAATTTTAACATATGCGAATAGATTAAAATTGAATTAACTTGATTACTTTTCTGAAAATTCTTTTTGACCTTTAAACAATTTCCCTGAAAGTAATCAATAAGAAATATAATTAATCAAACCATTATCTTTTTTGGAAACAAAGGGAAAAAAGATTTTCTCACTAAAATTAAAGTCAAGCATTAGCATCCTATACTTATATGTGTGAACATTGCATTGAAAAGCTAAGGAAAGGCTTATCTCAACATAAACAATCTCCAAAATTACACCTTATAATAATTTGAAATGTTCAGCAACGTTTCATTTGTCTGTTTCACGCAAAATAATTGTGCGAATTTGGTGAAATACTTGTTAATATTGAACTCTGCCAATTCACTGAACCGATGATTGTATTACCAAACAGTTTACGGTATTACGGCAATTTTCCTTGTCAATTCTTTGATATTTTTTTTGTAAAGAAATCAACTAATTAGTAAAATCAAATTTACGGGAAAATAAATTCTAAAAGTGAATGATCCGTTTTGGATGATTCACGAAAATGATTTTTCGCAAACTTATACGGAATGATTTTTCGCTCTCATGGACGTTGTTCCAAATAAAAATTGCATTTGAAGTAATAAATATCTTTAAAAATTGTTCGAGGCAAAATTAACAGTTTGGAAAAATTTTATAATATTGGAATAAAATTTCAATTTTTGATAAACAGTTTTTGATAAGTTTTAGGGTTCATGTATTAAAAAAATATTTTTCGTTATCTTCATATTAATATTAAAATTATTAACCTTTTATTCTAATTAAATAATTTAAATATTCTAACGAATAAATATATATAGATAGATAATAGATTTCCAATATTTCAATAATTTTTTTTAAATGTTCTAAATTTATTCAATTAATTCTTCAGAACAAAAAATTTATTTAAATAAACCATTGAATAAAATTGTTTCAAAACATGGTCAACCCAGGTAATTTTAAAATTATAAATAGGAATAAGATTTCATTTTCTTTTAATGCATCAACAATTAATTCATTTATAAAAATATTTTATTGTACCGTTTGATTTTATATTTTAAAACAAAATACTTTAAATTCTAAACCAAACTGTTTGAGATTCCTATATTTATCCTAAAATTAAACATATTAAACTAAACATTGAGGAAAATATGCCGTACTCGTCCCATTTCAATTTATTGACCAATGCCTTACTTCCCTACATTTTATTCATACGTATCCCTATTTCTAAATTTCGGTATATTAACTAAAAAATTGATCGCTTTTAAAATATTTGTAACAAACCAAATTTAAAAAAATCCAGAATTATTTTCTGACAATAGTTAACGGCATTAAAAAAGTCATTGAAATGATCATCCGCTTCGTTTTGTTAAATTAACCAAAGAATTTGAAGCATCATACTGAAATTCTTTTATTTTATTTTAATAACCCATTCAAAAATTATTTTATATTCAAATATCCATTTTTTTATTTCTCCTTATGAATTTATTTTTTGTTTG